AATTTTTTATTAGATGCGAAAAAATAAAAGAGGAATAGAAGAAATATGTTTATAACACAAATCTTAAAAAACATACGCAATAAAAATAATTGATGATTATGTAAAAAGATGTAAGGAAGATAAAATAATCATAATAAGAAGAAATAATCATATCGCGGAAATGTGTAACTTCGGATATTTAAAAAATACTTTTTATCAACAATTACGCACCAAAATAGAGAAAAAAAAGAAAAACAAAAAAAACCAAGAGAAGAGAAAGAAGAAAAGAACCAAGAGAAGAAAAAAAAGAAAAATCAAAAGAAGAAAATCTAATACATAGATGTATCCAATTTCAGACGTGCAATAATATTAAAAATATTTAAAATAAAATGATTGATGAAGACAAAGAAAATAAAAGAAGAAATAATTATCGTAACAATGTGCGACTCCGGATATTATGGCCATTAAAAAAATACTTCTCTATCAAAAATTACGCAAAAAAAATAGAGAAGAAAACAATCGAGATAAACAAAGAAGAAATGAATCAAGAAAAGAAAAGAAGAAGATAATCTGTTAAATATCCAGTTTCTGATGTGCAATAATATTGAAAATATTTAGAATGAAATGATCAATAATCTTCCATCAAAAATTACATAAAAAAATAAAGAAGAAAAGAATTGAGAGAAGAAAAAAGAAGAAAAGAAGAAAAATATCCAGTTTCTGATGTGCAATAATATTGAAAATATTTAGAATGAAATGATCAATAATCTTCCATCAAAAATTACAATAAAAAAAATAAAGAAGAAAAATTGAGAGAAGAAAAAAGAAGAAAAGAAGAAATTAATGTGATAGCAGACATCCAGTTTCAGACGTGCAATAATATTAAGAAAATTCAGATAATCGACAGATGTAATTTTTTTTCATCGAAAATTGCAATATTGTCGCGAGAAAACACACAAGACAGAGAGAGAAGAAGAAGATGGAGGATAAAATAATCGGATAGGTGCTTGATATAATGACGTGACCATTGACGAGAATAGGTTCTCCATCGAAAGTTGCGCGAGCGAAAATAAGAAAAATCCAGGATGAGAGAAGTGAAGAAGGATAGAGAGAAAAATCTGCGCGCACACGCGAAGAGAGAGAATGTCGGTATTCCTCAGACAGAGACACATAGCCCCGAGCTATGTAATTCATTACTAAAGCAATCTCACCCTGGCACCCTCTCTAGCCTGCACCCTGCCGGCAGCCAGCCCTGCCTCCACCCCTGACCCATCAGAGCCGCCCGAGAGAGCCCGCACGTTATAATATAAAAAAAAAGAGAAGATGGGCGGCGGCGGCGGTGGTGGTAGCAAGAGAGAGGGTGGGACGAAAGAAGGGTAGGGGCGTCCGATTAGAATAGCGCCCCCTGACAACAAAACAAAATGAAACACAAAGCAGTGTTTTCATAATTAAAAAGATTGCGCGCGCTTCTTTCTTCCTACCGTTCCTATTCATGCCTCTTTTCATTTTTCCTCTCTCTCGCCCCCATCCTCCTGTTCTGTTCTCCAAGCTCTCTCTCTCTCTCGCTCTCTTCTCGGACAGAAACGAGAGACACAGAGAGACGGAATTCAATAACCCGTATTAATACCGCGTCGTCTTTAGAAACGGGCAGACGTATTAAAATGTTTTAATCAAAACTCTGGCGCAGGAGTATAATCAAATCCGCGAGTACAATGGTTTTTTTTTCCGAGATGAGTGTGATTTCTTGGTCCGAGAGAATTCGCGAGAATTATTCTCTTAAGTCTCCGACTGAACTAAGATATTACGTTTTTTTTTTTTTATAATTTAGATACAGTCGGGATACGTCAATGATTTGGGATAGATATATTTATACAGGGTGATTCTGAATAAGTGCGAGAAATTTTAGATGATTTTTTGTCGAAAATTAACGAGGACTTTCATATAAACACATATTTTTATGTTTCTTTCTAAAAGAGTTACACTTTTCTAAAGATGGAAGTTTTTATTTTTTTCTCAAATTTTAGACAAGTTAAAAAAATAAAATATGGGCATTTTCTAGTAAAAAAAAGATATTTATTAATATTTTTTATCTTTCCGTATCATTATAAGGGGATAAAACTAGCAATCATGAGGAATTGAATTTTAAAATGAAAAAGCAAAACAAAATGTCTATCAAATTTCATTTTTTAACTTGTCCAAAATTTGAGAAAAAAATAAAAACTCAATTTTCACCTTCCCTCTTTGAAGGAGTTGTATTCTCGGGAAGGGATAGATAGGATACAAATTAAGTTAAAGTTTTTTGCTTACAAAATTAATTTAGTTAACAATAAGTTAAAAGTTTGCAGGAACAAAAAATGAAGTGAGCTAAAGTTAAGTTAAAATTAAATTAACTGAAGTTAAATCAAAAGTTAATTTTTAAAAACATTTATATTAAATTAGAATTTTGTTTGTTAATTCTTTTACAATATATAATAACAAATAACAAAGAAATTTTGATTTTCATATAGAAATATATTTTTGGTAATTACAATTGATGATAAATGAACATTAAAATTAATAATATAATACTTTAATTTAACAATAATATGTTTATAATTTATAAAAGAACAATAATACAGAGATAAAAAAAATTAATAAGTGTAAGGACAAAAACTGAAGTTAAAAATTAATATATTTTAAATTAACTAAGCTAAGTTAGAAGTTATTAACTGTTAACTAATTAACTAATTATTATCTCTCTTTCTTTTCAATTTTTGACAAAGAATAATCTCATTCAAACGTTGAAAAAAATAAAAACCTTCTTTTAAAAATGATTATCTCTTTAAAAAAGTGTAACTCTATAGGGAAGAGTTTATATGAAAAACCTTCCTTAATTTTCGACAAATAATTAAATTATTCGCGTTTGTTCAACCTTACTCTGTATAGGTATATCAAAATCGAATTTTGCCATATCGCTTATAAATTGAAAAAAGGAGGGAATGGAGGGGGAAGGAAAAAAATACAAAAACACAGAAAACCCGCAATGTCTCCGCGTTTGCAGTCAATGCGCCGAGTATCAAAGGAATGCGAGAGCTTGGGGGAGAACCGTAAATGGGCGAAGCCCTCTGGGGGTGAGACGAGCGTCGTACAATGTATCAAATATACAGGAGAGGGTTGCGTCAATCAAATGATTGCATATTTATCCGTTCTTCCGCGCGGACATGAGGCAAAATAAATAAATCCACCGTTTCGCTAATTTACGGCGAATTTAATCCTCCCTCCCTTCGTTCTCCCTTCGCGGTTGTCGATTCGCCCGATCATTTATTTGCCGCGTACGATGAAGCGACAAAAGCGATGAGGGAAATGTACGACTTTATTTAGCCCACCGAGCGGAATTTATTTCATTTTCTTTTTCAAAGAAAAATGATGCTGGGATTGGAAAATAAAAGAAACATTCTCTGCTTCCGTTTTTTTTTTTTTTTACAAGCGGATTCGGATTCATTTTTTTTATAATAAAAATATATTTTTCACATTTTGTTTTAGGTATAGAATTGAGAAGAAAATATATACGCGAGTTTCTCTCGTCTGTAACAGAGATTGTAACTTTGTTACATTTTTTGATAGTGAATTCAATTACTTTTCGAATTTTTGCATGTTAAAAAACAAATGTTTTGAAATTACAAAAAAATTTAAGGCGCAAAAAAGATGATTTTGACTGTATAAATAAATTTTTTAAAACTAAAGAAACATTTTTTTTAAATTTTATACTTACAGAATTTGAAAAAAAATGTTTTAATGTTTTTGAAATAAATTAGGTTTTTTGATGAAAAATATTTAAAATTATTATCAAAATTATATATTGTGCATTTTAAATCTATAATAATATTAATTATATAATTATAAAATTATTTAAAATTATAAATGTTTTATTTTTTAATTAAAATTATATAGTTTTATTTTGTTGTTATATTTTCATATAAACAAAATATTTAATAAATATAAAGTTTATGTGTCTTTTATATATAATTTAATTTTGTAATAATATGATACAAATAAAATTGCAACTCGTTATTTTTTGAATAACGATAATGATAATGAGTTATACTATTATAACGTCATTTTATTCACAAGTCTGATTTTAAATACATTTTATATACAAAAATATGTATATTTTATATTATATTATGTGTACATATTAATATATTATACCTATACATATTATAACTTTTCTTACTGAGATTGCAGCTGAAGAGAAGAAGCAGGGAGAAGAAACGGGGTTACCTTCACTCTTCTGCTTCCTTTTTATGTGTGAAGAAGAAGAGAACTCTAATATTACACGTTTCTTTAGTCTTCAATCTATTTAGATTCTACTTGAAAGTCTATATTTTTTCTTGCGAATATAACTCAGAAACCAAAGTGAGAAAAACAAGAAATTATATATTATTATTTGTTTACCCAATAATTTCTTAAGCGATTAAGAGGGCCAAAAGAAGATTCCAACAAATGTATCAGCTTCTAATCAATTAACTATAACATAAATTTATAAAGATTTGTTCTCCAATCTGCGTTTTTCGATATTGAATTTTTCAAATAAATAATATATATTGTAGAAAGTTTATATATATTAAAATTTGTGTACATTTGATGTATTATATATATATATATATATATATATATATATGTATATTTACTTTAAGGTCTATCGATGATGCTACCACCTGCGACACGGTTTTCAAGGTCATCCTCCCTCGAAGAAGAAATCGAAGAGAACCGGCTTGGCGATGAGCGATCGAACTTTCTTAGCTTTCTCGAAAAAGAAGAAAAAACCCAGGTAGCAAATGTACGTCATTTTTACGTCAAATGACGTCATTTTGATGTCGAATGACGTTATTAGATGCCGAATGACGACATTTTGATGTCGATGACGTTATTAAACGTCGAATGACGTCAGTTTGTTACTTGGGCAAGAAATAAAGAAAAGAAGAAACAAACGTCATATTGATGTTTAATGACGTCAGTTTGCTACTTGGGAAAGAAAAGAAGAAGAAGCAAGGAAGAGAACATACGTGAAGAGAGAAGAGGGAGAAAAACGCGTAAAGCGCGAACGAAACGCGGATGAAGAATGACGAAGAGAAGAGAAGAGAAGAGAAGAAAAAAGAGAGAGAAGAGAAGAGAAGAGAAGAGAAGAGATAGAGGAGAGGCGAGGAATCTAGCTGGAGCGAAAGGGATAAAAGGACAAAATATACGCAGGAAGAGAGAGAGAGGAGGGAGAAGAAAATGGAGGGTGGAGAGGAAGAGGGAGACCGCGATTTAGCGGATTTTCACAAATCTCTCTCTCTCTCTCATTCTCTTTTCGCGGAGGGGGTGTGCGCGATTCTTAACGCGACGGGACCCGCCCTCCGGCATTCGCCCGGCCAATCGGGTGCGAGGACGGAGGGTGGCTACCCCTGCACAAACCTACCCTCGCTCGCTTGCCCTCGACGACGACTCTTCTCTCGCATCTGAAGAGATTCCGCAGTGCTCTCGCCATGTTCGCGCCAAACGAGCGGTCGTCCATCGTTTTCGTCGTCTTGCTGCGATAGCGAGGATCTCCTCCAGGAGAGGGTTCCGGTGGAGACTCGTCTACTCTTCCGGGAACCATCAAGAGCCCCCGGAATTGGCAGGATTTAATTCTAAAGAGGGGACCGCTGCGATGGCGGGCCCGTATTTGTCGCCCCTCGGGCCCCAGGCTGATCTCCTGACCGAGTACATGTTCGGCCGTCGTCGTCAGGTCAGTGTACGTTTCCCTTCATTCCATATTTTGACTTGCATCGACCGACGGCGTGATTGATCCAGTGCACCGATGTTTCAATGAAACTTATTGGTACCCCCACGTTTATTTTTCCGGAAATAGAGGGTCTCCAGGATCTCCGTTCGAGCAGACAAGTATATACAGGGTGTATATTCCCTGGAATTTTCAAGGAATTTAGTTCTACTTTGAAAAATTCTGGAATTATCATGGAATTATTGATTTGAACTCAGGGAATTTAAAAAAAAAGTGCCTTTTTGATTTTAAAATATAGTTTTAAAGAATTTAAAATTTATTAGTCTTATATAAAGTATGTATTAAAATATATTTTATTATAATATAATACTATATTACATTATTATATTTAAAAATACTTTATTTGTGTTAAAAAATTATGGATAACGTTATAAACTTATTTCAAAATTGTATTCTAAATATTATTTAAAATACTTTAATTTTACCTGAAATTTTGAACAAAAATATCTGGAAAATTATAAAATTCTCAGGGTATTTATTTTTAAGATTCGAGTATACACCCTATGTATATGTTTGGAGATTCTCGATCTCTTTATTCCCAAGACTGTTTTTTATATGATAAAAAATTCATTTGTCACGATTCGTTGGATAAAATATACCTACATGAAATGTGAAAAAAGACAAAATTTGTGAAGATAATTCGAATAATTCTGCTAATCATGTCCCAGATAACAAATTTACGTCATTTTGACGTCGATGACGTCATTAGACATTAAAATGACGTCGTTTTGACGTTTAATGACGTCAGTTTTGCTACTTGGGATGTGTAAAATTAATTGTCTAGCAATAAAATGATATAGAAAAAAGATGTATAAACTATAAAATAAAATGAATATTTAATCTTTTATTATAATGAATAAATTAAAAAAAGAAAACCGTTTATATTAAATATATTATAAATATGTGTGTCATAATATATGAAATATATTTATATAATTTCTTTTTGTTATATAATCCATAAAACGGGAAAAAATAATAAAAATAATGGAAATTAAAAGAACTGAGAATTTGCCTATATAAAATTATATATCATATTTTTATACATTTATATCAATAATAAAATATGAAAGATTTACAAGGTGTTTCTAAATATGTGCGAAAAATTTTAGGAAATAATTCTTTGTCAAATATTAAAGAGGATTTTTCGTAAAAACATATACATATCTTATATCCCTCCCTGAAAAGTTATACTTCTTTAAAAGAAATATGGTTATTTTTTTCTTGAAAACTAGTAATTTTTACGAAAAAAATAAAAGAGATAAAGTTTTTAAAGAAATCAAGTTTTTCTAACAAAAAATTGAATAAGGATTGTTAGTTTCATCTCTTTATAACGATATGTCGAAAGATCATTAAAAAAATATTAATAAATATTCTTTTTGGAAAATATCCATCAAATATCATTTTTTTTAATTTGTCTAAAATTTGAGAAAAAAATTAAAACCTAATTTTCAGCTCTTCTCTTTTAAAGGAATTTTTGATAAAAATCATTTCCTAATGTTTTTCGCACTTATTTAAAAACATCCTGTATATAAGAGTAATTTTTTTTAATTTTCTAAAAAAATTATTTTTTTCCTTTTTTTCTATATATATTAATATATATTTTTTATTAAATGTCATAACGCGCTATGCGATTAAAAATCGTTGAATGTTTTAACAAAAGTAGGAGAGACCAGGGAAAAATATAACATTTTGCTTATTTGTATTGATATCTTCGATTTGCTTGTTTATTAATAAATCTGTTCTATCTCATTAGATTACTGCATTCTTTACCTATTATTTGGTATGGATAAAACTTATGGACATTATACAATTACGTGGAAAAATCGAATTTTATATAAATTGAAATTTGTTACAATTGTCCCTACCCCTAGAGCTGGTTATAACAGGGCTGAAAGTTGATTTTAACAAGCTAAAATAAAATTAAAACAAACATATAATCAATGTAATGGAACGTTTTATTTCTTATAAACTTTTTTAATAATTCTAGACATTTTTAATTATTTTAAACTATATAAGTAATGAAACAAAATTATAAAATAATTATAAAAACAAAATTATACGAACATAAAATAAACGAAATTATACAAACATAATAAACAAAAATTATACTTATATTATATTATATTTCGATATCTGTTATATGAAAAAATTTTTTTGTATATTTCATCTCTTTTATCCTCTGGTCTCCCCTACATAAAATTCGAGAATTTTCGTGACATTTGTATACATAATATTCGAATTCTTGTCTTTTTCAAGCAGAGACGCAATCGGACGACGTTTACGCCGCAACAGCTTCAGGAATTGGAATCTCTCTTTCAGAAGACGCATTACCCCGACGTTTTCCTTAGAGAGGAAGTCGCACTTCGGATATCGCTCTCGGAAGCACGTGTTCAGGTGAATTTATTTTATTGCGATTGCTTCATTAGTTTTACTTACTTCACTTATTACTTCTATTAATAACGTAATTGTACCCATTTTTTCTAATTACTTGTTAAGGGGGCGCAATAATTTTTTTAATATAAAAAGAATATATAAAATACATATTTTTCTGGTGCAGTTAAAAATGTATTAATTAATATAAACATATAAGATTTTATTAGAAAATGTCTGAAATTAATTAATGAAAAAAACATGCTTAAATAAACAATAAAATAAAAAAGCGCAAGCAAGGAGATATTTTAACTTAAGTAAAAAATTTCAATTAAAGCGAGATGTATTGATTCAAAAATGTTTAATTCGATAAAAAATTTTTTTTCTTTAAAAATATCGTTCGTACAAAAATCAACCAGAAACTTTAAATCCATATCGTTTACGATAAATTTTCTTTTTTTTAATTTCAGTAGCTTTGGAGTAGAAACCCTTTTATCTGGGAAACTATCCCAGATAAAAGCTAATGCTCTCTCGCTTTTGCCTTTTCGGCGTCCGTAGAGTTAAGAAAACTTGCAACCTCAAAATCTACGAAATACGGGCTTCCAACAGATTACTTCATTCCCTAAAACCGTTCACTAATTAAACCCTCCCCCGAAATAAACTCTGTTTCGCGGAAAACACGCGCGGTTTATTCGCTTTCCGAATCCGCTAAACTTTAATTAATGATCGCAATTTATTTCGGTATACCTATAATGTTCTCCACATTTTGGTGTTACTGTGATTTCATATATTATATATACAAATTAGGAAAATGCAATATACATTTGTAATTAAATATTCAAACACAAATTGATGTGCGCGTCAATTTGTATCGAGTTAATATATTTCTTTTAATTTAATTATGAAAACTAAAAATAAATATAGATTTTTCTTCTAGAAAAATCTTTTTATATTGTTTTATACTCTCTATACAATTTTTATATATAATTTTTTTGCGTGTCTAATTATTTATTTATCCTCTAATATTGATATGTCGAATAATTTCTTTCGATATATTTATTATATTATTTATATTATATTTATTAATTTATTATATATATATATATATATGTGTGTGTGTATATAATAAGAAATATAATTAAATATATGAAATGATATAATATAAATGTATTATATTATATTATTATATATTATTATTATATTATATTATATATATTATATTATATTATTATATTATATTATATTTTTTAATATCATTCGATATTTTATATCATTTAGAATCTTGTTTTATATTATTACCAAATTAATCAATGCATGATACTAATTCGACTAATTAATTTTGCTGCGATTATACAATAGCAAAGCGATAAAATCAACAAAGCAAAACGGGTCAAGTCAGCCGCGCAGATGTTTCGATTCATTAATTGATATCAGGATACGAACAAAACTGGCTGATCGTATCACAAAAGCCGAAAGCGCGTACATCTGGCTATTATAGGATAGCGACTATTGTGCGAAAACGATTAGGCGAACGCTGATGAATTGACCGGGCAAATCTGTATAAGGAATGAACACACAAATAAAGAGAGAGAGAGAAGTTCATCAAGTAAATTCGATTAATGCTTTCGAATCTCCTCAGCCGCGAATCTCGTCGGAGATTCAGCGTCAAGAGGGTCAACTATGCGGGATCTTTAGCAAATTGGTGGTGCAGTTTCCCTGCGACGGATTAAATCGATATATGCGGAGGAGGGTAATTTTGTCGCGCGAGAAGCAACGATTTAATTGTGATTTTTTCGAGGGATATTTAAGATTTTTGAAAAATAAATTTTATAACGCAAAGTTTCTTCAAAACATAATAAATTCTTCCTCTTGACATTCGAAATTTTCTGAAAATAATAATATTTTATTGTAATAAGTATAATTTATTTATATTAATAATATAAAATATGTTAGATTAAATTGAAAATTTTTTCGCGGATTTATATAATATCTAATTATAATAATATAATAATATAATATAACACTAGTTTACAGCCAAAAATTATTTTAAATTAGAAACAAAATGTTTATTATATTTTTGGATGCTGCAAACTAAATTTTACTAGCATATGTCATATTTCAAAAATAATTGATATTTGATATGTAAAAATAGCCTTTTTATGATATTTAAGATTTTTTTTGTGAAAAAAGTTAATATTATCTGAAAAGTTTAATCAAATATTATAAAAGTAATGTTCATCTCTTATAAAATGCATTTTTCTTTCAATATTTCAATATTTTATTTTTTGGCCATGTTATAAAAAATTAAAACCAGGAACTACGTCTCATATAGAGATGCTCTAAAATTTTTATATGGAAACAATACATTCATAACATCTGATCAGAATTTCTAGATAAAGTTAATCTTTTTTACAAAAAATTTCAAATATTGCAAAAAAGCCATTTTTTGCACATTAAACCTCAATTATTTTTATTTTGAAAACCTGACGTGCTAGTGAAACATTTTGTTTGCAGCATCTAAAAATTTACAAGAAACATTCTGTCTGATTTAAAATAATAAAAAACAATATTTTTTTGCAAACTGGTCTATAATTTTCTAAATATATTATAACTGGTCTATAAATATTCTAAATATATTATAACATTTAATTAATTATTAAATTTAATAAACATTTAAATTATATATTGATTAAAAAATAAATATTACATTTCCTATCTCATTCACTAATTTTTCATATTTATTTAATTCATTTATTTTTTAATCAATAATAAATTAATCTATTAAAATATAATATTATTCGAACGTTTTGAATCTTAAGATTAAATTAAAAATATAATGTATCACTCCAAAGGGATAAGGGAGGGTGGAGAAGAGAAAGCGGGAAGGGGCGAGATTATATATACGATCGGTCAGATGAGGTCTCGGCTCCTCCGCAGGTATGGTTTCAAAACAGACGGGCAAAGTGGAGAAAGCAAGCTCGGTTACAATTGCTGCAGGACGCGTGGAGAATGCGATGCTTGGGTTTAGGGAGCGCGACGCCGCTTCTGCTCGGCCGGCCGCCCCCAGTGAGTCCTGGCGCCGCCGCCCTCGACGCGTCGTCCTCCACGACCTCGCCCTCGTCCTCGTCGGCCCTCACGGCTTCGCCGACCACGAGTGACAAGCTGCCCGAAACCAGCGGTCCCGTGTCGGTCTGTGGGAGGGACTTTAGGATCTTGCCGCCGCCGCCGCCTGGGTAAGCGTCTCCTCGAATTTCAGAAAAAAATCCTTTAATTTTTGTATACAAGATGTTTCCTATAAGTAAATTAAAATAATTCGAGGGGGTATCCCATATTTTAAGAAGAAAAGGTCCTATAAACATTCCAGGTGACAAGTATATATACGTCATTTTGATATCGAATGACGTCATTAGATGTCGAATAATGTCATTAAACGTCGAATAACGTCATTAGACGTCAAAATGATGTCACATTGACGTTTAATGACGTTAGTTTGCTACTTGGGATGTCTTAAGCTGCTTTGTTTTCAAAAGTGACTAAATTGCAAATATTAGTGTTTATAAAATACACGTTCTATTTTATTAATATGTCTTTTTGTTCGGAAGCTAATAAATATTAATAATATTTCTGGTTTATATAATCTCATAGCTTTCATTTAGTTAAATTTAAAAATAGAATCATTCCAAGTAGCAAACTGACGTCATTAAACGTCAAAATGACGTATGCTTGCTACCTGGGATATCTCTTACTTTAAACACATTCCCAAGCAAACTGACGTCATTAAATGTCAAAATGATGTCATTTTGACATCTAATGACATCATTCGACGTTAAAATGACGTACGCTTGCTACCTGGGTTTATATTGCATCATTTTCGTTCATATCTCGACGATTTCGAGATTATCTAAGCAGAATTGCGTTGTTTTGCAGATATTCGGTACCTTGCGACAAATCATCGCCCGACAGAATCAAGTGCCGATGTGGGACACCGCCAAGGATCTGTGCGAGTCCTGTAGATCATCGCGCTGACGTTCTGGCGACGAGAGAGCGACCGCAGGAGGCCGAGATGGATCTCACCCTGAAAGGGCATCATCCAGGCAGGCTGTTCCATCATCATGTGGCGAGCAGCCCTCAGCAAAACGTGGACGAGCCTTTAGACGTCACTCTGAACAGCAGCAAGAATAACTAAGAGTGAAGATAAGGAGAGAAGGTGAATCGATGAAGACGATATCAGCTTCGCGAAAACTTTTGATCCTTTCGAAGTCCTTTCATCCCCGAAATGGTGAATAGTGTATCATATTTGACGCTCGTCGAAAGCGCCTATTTAAGTGCGTTAATCAGTTTCCAAGAGTGAGATAAAAAAAAATTAAGTGAAGGTAGAGAATATATCATTTTCAGTTTTCATGAACATTAAGATTTCTTCTTTTTCTTTGTTTAGCTTCTTCTTGATTTCTTTATGAAGACGATCAGTTTCGCGAAGACTTTTGATCTTTTCAAAATCCTTAAGTGGTGTATCATATTTTTAAAAAATTAAGTGAAGATAAAGAATGCACTTTCAATTTCCATACAAATATTAAGATTTCTTCTTTTTTATCTTCATCTTTTTGACCTCCCATATCTTTCATTTTTTTATGGTACATATATCGTTGTCACTTCCAATTTCCATCTTCTTTCTTATTCTTCATCTTTTTACTTGTTTATTCTCACAAATTTTTAATGAAGACGATATCAGCTTCGCAAAGACTTTTGATCCTTTTAAAATCCTTTGAAAATATCAGTTTTCAAAAGTGAGATAAAAAAATTAAGTGAAGGTAACGAATGCACGTATATGATATATAATAATGTTGTTTTTTCAACTTGAAAGAAATATTAAGATTTCTTCTTTTTTATTTCTTCATCTTTCATTGTTCCAATTTTTTATCCTTTTAATCTTTCATATTTTTCGTATTGTTTTCTTATAATTTAGTTGTTACAATTGTGTGATATATTTATAATAATACGTGTATAAATTCACGCAATTAAAAATTTTAATCAACAAATCCAGATGGTGTCGAGCTAAAGAAAAAGAAAATCGATCTTATCGATAGTATCACGTATTATAATATTTCATCGTTATATATTATATATATATTTTTATCGTTAGAATTATTATTTGTATATATTGAGCGAGTGTAATTTATAGCGTGTCGGTTATTAACATTGGAATGTGCAGTGATTACAGATTGCAATGTGTGATCGAGAATGAAGTATTTTTAAAGCAATATTTTATAACAATAATTAGACGCTAAAGAACTTTCAAGATATCCGAGATATACGTCAATTTTTTCATTATTAAATTAATTATTAAATCTAAAAATTATATATAAATCTAATTATATGTAATTAATTTAATTACATATAATTTTATATATATTTAATTTATATATATATATAATTATATATAAATATTTTAATTATTATAATTATATATAAATTTCTTATTTGGCATTTATATCATCATACGTTTGCAAATTTCAAATATTAGATTTGTTAATTATATCTCTCTGTATATAACTCTCTTTCTCATACTTTTATTATTAAACAATAATAAAAGTTTCTTTCATTGGTTCCAGTGTTAAAAGAAACGTAATTAGAAAAAAAAGATTTATTTTATTCGCCAAATATTTTATCTTTGTAGAAAAGTTGCTATTTATTAGTACATTTATTAGTACCTATTAGTACCTATTAGTACCTATTACTACATAGAGAAAAATGAGTGATTTCTTGTACAAAGTTTAATATTTCTTATACAAAAAGAAAGAAATTTAAAAGCAAAAAAATGCAAATAACCGGATACATGAAATAGTACGTTCAATTAATGCATTCTGACGTCAATGATTAAAATGATTTTTTCTTTAATTTATACGATGTAAAATATCGCATAAACAATTTGTACAGTGCATTGATGATAACTGGTTGCACTTGTTCAAACTTGATCAGTGTATCTTTTAATTTTTGTATAATTAATTATATATGATTAAATTACTTTAGTCGCGAAAAACGAATTGAATTTAAAATGCAATTGCATCTTCCAATTCGCATGTGCGATACAATGACTGAAAATAGAAAAGAATTTTTTCATCCAAACATTCTTTTAGTTGTGCCAGTTTTTCATAAGGAAAAAACAAAGTATTAACATTGTACATAAAAATCTGATATATATATAAAATTATAATTTATATATAAATGAATGAATGAATAAATAAGAATATAACGCAACATTCAAATATTTAGAATATATTTGTTTTAGAAATAAATATTAATCGCTAAATATGCGTTTTTTTACTCGTGTTCTACCTCTCCTATTTAAAGTAAAATATGTAATAATAATCTCTATTTAATTAAATAAAAATAAAATAAAAATCTTTATTTGAATTTTTATACCGCAAATTTCCAAATTTATTAAAATGTTATAGTTGTGTTTCTGCTAAAGATACACATAGATATATTAAAACAAAATTTTAAATACTTTAATTATTTTAATTATCGCTTAGATTAAATATATTTAAAGAGAAAAAAATAAGTAAGATTAAATTTCTTTATCTGTTTACATTTAATGATCTTAAAACTCATTAAAATCATTTATCTTCGATATTATTTCAATATTAAATTTTTTTCAATATCTTTTTTAAATAAACACATTTTACACGCTAATTATTTTTCTTATATCTATAGTCGGTATATTTGAATAAAATTATTATTTCATATATGTATATCGACTGTAGATTAACGCTTTCAATGTGTCATATGGAATAAATATAAATACTTATTAATTATCACATCACAATTATGTTAAATGTTGCAAGTAGCAACAAAAAATATTATAATTATAATATAATATACAATATTATATATATTATAATATTGTTACTACTGATATATATATATATATATATATATATATATATAAATTAAATTAAATAGTGTTATAATACACTATTTACAACATATAATATACATAATATTATTCAAATATATGTATATGTAATTGATTTTACTGAAATAATTAAATTATTTAATATTTTGTTATGTTATTATCCTTCCTCCCTAATGTAAAAAATTTATAAAATGACAATATGAGAAAGTTTGTTGGAATTGTAATGACAAATATTATGTACTTGCCACTTAGAACCCGCTGAAAATGAGAAATAGCAATAGAATTATAATAACTCTTTATTGCTATTTCTTATTCAAATTTTGTAATATTACTTTTCTAATAACTTCAAATATTACTTAAATAAAAAGGCTCTCGACCAATAATTTCTCATAGCATGTGAAAGGTATATCGTAAATAACAAGACCTTTGTAAAATAATTTTGTATTTAATTCAAAACTTGTTACTTTTTCTCAGCTTTTTTCGTACTTTTCTTCGCTGCACCACCTGCTTTAGTCTTCTTGGTTTTCTTTTTTAATTTGAAAAACGCGTTCGTTCGCAGTTTGTTCCTTATCTGCCTCGCTTTGCGCAGCTTGAAACGATCAAAGTCACAAAGTGCAGCACGCTGAAATAAAGATTTTTTTCATGTTAGTACACAATATATGTTAAGGCGTATTTTACTATCAAAATCATTAATGTGTTTTCAGAATATTAAGTTAGCATCAGTGAAATCAGTCGGCAATTCCTATCAATAATACTGGTTCATCATGTACACATTTAAATAAGTTTTTATAAACAAATTTATAAAAATCTAGTATTATATATAAGAAACAAATATATTCTCTTTCTCTTTTAAAGCATAAAGTTATATTGCTGAAACTAATCCGCTATCAATTTTTAATGCATGCAGTTGTTGAGAAAACAAAAGTTGTGTTGGAAAGAGGAAAATCTGCAGCTTTTAATAGATATAAATAAAATGTTTGTATACCAATTTATTTTATTGACAAAAAGGAATGAAAAACGTGTTAATAATCACATAAACTAATGATAAATATTTTTAACAGTGCCAGATTTAATAGCAGCTATTAAAAGAATCTTCAATAATATTAAAAATGATATGTTAGAAAAAGGTTCAAATTCAAATGGTGCACACTTCGAAAATATTTATCATTAGTTTACATATGTGATTATTAGCACTTTTCATTACTTTTTTCAATAAAATAAACTGATATACAAACATTTTATTTATGTCCATTAAAAAACTATAGACTTTCCTCTTTTCAACACAAGTTTTGTTCTCTCAATAACTGTATGCATTAAAAAATGACAACTGATTAGTTTCAGCATTTTCCTATGGAACACCTTATATAATAAAAAAACAAATATTTTCTCTTTTAAAACATAAAGTTATATTATAATATCAATATATGTCAAATAAGAACGCGATAATTATATTTAACATAAAATAGCGTTCATTAATTGACGCTAAAATTGAATTCTTTGAATTACCTTCTCTTTAGCTTCAACTTTTTTAGCCCACATCGTCTGCTTCCACAATTCATTGATATTAGCCGTCTCCCATACTTTACGTACTACACGAGTGGATCCGGAGAATGGAAAACGTAAGCGGAATTTCGTCAAGTGAAGCTCGTTAAGCCTCATCTCACAACGGGGTACACTTGTCAATGGGCCATCGACCAGAACCTTGAAGAGAGTAAGAGTAAGAATTTAAGAATTGATTCTTAATATGGAAAAATCATAGTAACTGTAGAAGTAATCGTCAGAATAATTTAGCATCATTAAAAATCAGCCGGCATTTCCTATCATAATACTGGTTCATCATTTGATTTTGATAAAATACAGAAAATAGAAACACAAGTGAGAAAACAATTAATTCTGAAAAACAGATGTAATCTGTGTCTATATATCTTACAATATAAGAAAATAATTGTCTGTAAATTTTGCATGTCTGCAAGAGAAACACAATTGTAATCAATCCCTAATATCTTATCACTAATGTCTCTTAATTACAATAAGCATTTGGGAATTATATGCATTACATATTAAAATAAAAAAATAAAAAATATTATTCTCACCCGATTCTGATCGATGATGTCAACAATAGTGACCAGTTTGCCTTGATAAGGCCCATCGCTCACATAGGCCACACGGCCTGACTGCACAAATCTCTGGAACGGCTGTTAATAAAAGAATACAATATTATTGATGGCTGGATATTATTGATTGATCTATATTAATCTGCAATTTTATAAATAAGTTCTAGCACGCAACATTGCATATGCATTCTCGCAACTCAAAATTATAAGAAAATAAAACTCGATAAGTAAAATCAGTTGTGAAAGATATTTTCATTATACAATTCAAAAAAATATATATAAATTAGAATTTCATTGGATATATATGTATATATATATATATAAATTATTATAAATATACATAAATTATATAGTTTTATTTAAAAAAAAAATATATATAAATGATTATAAATATGCATAATTATATAGAAGTGTTATTGAAAAAAATATATATATAAAATTAATGATTTAAAAATAAAGTGTGTTAAAGAATTTGGTAGATGCGAACTTTCTAAGCTCGAAGCTCAGAATATAGATGAAAAATACAGTTTATATCGCGCTTTTAAGAGCACATATGCATCTAAAATTTCGCCGAACCACATGTGATTAATAAAGTTCGTTCAACGAGAAGGTTAAGACTTGCAAACTCGTGCAAGATCTTCGCATAGCTCGTAAACTTAAAAGGAAAAACGCGCGAGAGAAGCGAGAAAAGCATTAAAAACCGATTCGTTCATCGCATTTCACGATTATTACACGATATAATTATATTATTGAGTCTGAACGGTCGCTTTATTCACTCACCATGATTTTCCGGAAACGAGAGGACCATGCAAGAGAAAAGCGGATAAACCGCGATCGAGTGGCCACACTCAAGGAACAAAAATCCCTAGCCGGCACTGGTCTAGGGACTTTTCAGCGTATAGATTTTTTGTTGTATAGGGATTTTGCCGTATAGGGACTTTTGGCGTACAAGCATTTTTGTCAAAAATCTGTCTGGTAGTATATAGTTACTTCTAGGGATTTTAGTCGGAATTAGTTCGCCACACTGCTGATTTACTATATATACTGTTTGTATTTTGTATTTAGCGACATTTATTTATTTTCCAAGTTGTGTTCAAACAAGGGAACAAATATAAAATATATTTGCTCCGTAATTCCATGTGAGAAGAAAAAATACAAATATATATTCATCTATATATATTATAAAATAGTTAACTTCTTTCTGCAGAAAGTTTCTAACTTTATGTTTTTTTTGTGTACTTTTTTATAAGTACATATATACATTTAGTTTTTAATTATTTGATATGTTAATGATATGAAAAATGTTATATGAACTATTTTATATAATTAATTTAAATATATTATTATCTTAATTATCTCTTCTTACAGAAAACAGTATATTTATACATATGTACCTTTGAAAAAGTTTTTGAAACAATCTCACAACAATGTCTGAGAGTAGTGCAGCTTCGTCGGATTCATCCTCATGCAGGAGAAGTCCTAGAGAACGTAAAGATTGTTTAAAACGTGCCTTGGAGCAGACATTAGTATTACGTAAGAATCTAATTTGCATTATCCATCTTTTTTTTATATTTAACATAAAACTAACTAATGAGTAATTTACAGAGACTTCGATCAATAAATCTACCATAAATAAACTTAATGAAGCTATAACTGAAGCTGATATCATTGCTACTCAGACAGATATACAAGAGAAAGGTACATTTTAAAAATTATTTTCGACCCTGTGTATAGTATTATATATTCTGTATATAATATATATTCTTATGTGCATATATAATATATATTTTATATATCTTACGTATGATATTTTTTACATCATTTTTGCTTTGCGAAAATAAAATGATAATTTGAGCAGGATTTTATAATCTTCTAGAAGTAGCATAATTTATTTTTTATATTTTTAGTTTTCAATCAGCAGGAAGTAGTTATGGATTCACTAATTATGATATCATCTTCTAAAGTCCTGAAAACTTGCACTGTCTCATTGACGAAGAAAATGAATGACTATGACTATACTGACTTTGCACAAAAGCTGGTATGTTTGCAGTACATTAAAAGTGCAATTATATGCTCATAATTATTTGCAATGTTAGAGTTAATCAAGAGATTTGCATATACAGAATATTAATTAATTTGCACCGATTAAGTACATAGTGGTATTACTTAATAAAAAATAAGTCAAGAAATTATTATATTAAATTGATTTTATTAATATTTTCTTATTTAATGTATATTTTTATAATTTATTTAACATAATTTATAATTTATTACAATTTTATATATATATAAAATTGTAATAAATTATAAATATATATTTATATATATATATATATATATATATATATAATTGTAATAAATTATAAATTATGTTAAATAAATTATAAAAATATACATTAAATAAGAAAATATTAATAAAATCAATTTAATATAATAATTTCTTGACTTATTTTTATTAAGTAATACCACTATGTACTTAATCGGTGCAAATTAATTAATATTCTGTATATGCAAATCTCTTGATTAACTCTAACATTGTATACATATATATATATATGTATGTGTATGTATATATTTGTGTTTATGTGTGTAATGTAGTCTATGTAATCTCTACAGTATATAATAATTAGATATATTTTATTATTTTATTCTTACATATATATATAGTACTATAATATTCGTAATTATTTAGGTGAAACATATACAAGGAATGTCAGACAATCCAGAATTACCACCGGATTGGTCGTTTTTGGAGCCAAAAGTAACAACAATGTTCAAAAGAGTTCCTAATTGCTCTACAATTTTAGGTTTGTTTATAATTATTGATATTGGATATTAGGAGTAGAGTTATATACAGAATAATTTATTTAAATAGGAAATAATTTTTTCTTGATGATAAAAAAATGGTAAAGAAATAAGTTCAAAAGAATAATATAATAATTATGTTCAGTTTTCTAATTATTTTCTTTACTGATACAACAATGCACTTATAATGTGCAATTGCATTTTTTTTAATGGAACTATGTTCTTTCTTACATATTAATTCTCTTATTTTGCATATAAAAATGTGGACATAGAATTATAATTATAAATTAATAATTTACATTACAAAATATGTTTTTAAATTTAATGTAACTTACAAAATGTATCTTGTAAAATATTTCTTAATAATTTAATTAATTATTTTTATACAAAGTAACTACAAATAAATAAAAAAAAAAATAATTGTATCAAGAACTCAATATTATAGATATGTAATGGTGCATTTGTATAAAAATAGTTATCAACTCTACTCATTATTTTATGAAAAATTTAACAGATATTTTTTAAGATAGTGTGATTCAATATATTTCATATTTTGTATATCATAATATATTATATCAAAGTATCTTCTACATTGTTAGATTATTTTGATTATTTATGATATTTTAATATGCAGAATAATAAAAATTAATTTAATTATAGTAAAAAATATAAAGTTCTATTTAAAGAAAAATGTAATTTGAATTTCATAGATGTCATAAAAAATTGGGACTCATTATGTTCTTCAACTTTTTTCTCTATCATATTTTTATCAATTATAAAAGAGATAGTTTCTATTCAATTTATTTTAACTCACTCTGTATAAACATTAATATTTTATTATTTCCTGACGCAGATATTTCTAAAAATATACAATTAAGTGATTTTTTTAAGTTCATAGCTATTCAAGAATACAGTGCTTTTAATTTTAGGTACATTGGAGCCTTTAGAAAAGAAAGTCATAGTTAGAAAGAAACCTGAGCAGAGAGTAGCACAGCAAGCTGCAATGATAGTGCCTGAGAAACTGGTGCGAGATGTAAATACTAACGATGAGGACAGTGTAGAACGAACCGTGAGAAAGATTAGAAAATTAATCATATCCTATTATAAGGAAAAACATGAACCGCTCGATTTCTTCAAATTAATTCTGCCTCCGGACGATTTTGGAAGGACTGTGAGAAATATGCTATACATATCATTTCTTGTGAAAGACGGAGTAGTGACAGTGAGAAAGGGTATTTTCTTCTTTATGCAAAACATACCAGTCATTATTTTTTTATTTCTAAAAAAATCTATAATAATATTTATATATTATATTATATTATTGATATAATATTTATGATGGATATTATTTTTATTCCAGATGAGAATGGAAACCTTGTCGTGCAACCATGTCGCAAGCCAAAAAATTTGCCGAGAACAGATACTAGAACAGGTGTTCAGAATATTATTTCCATAAATATGAAATATTGGACGGTCAGTTAAATTCTTAATTATTTTTATTAAGGCTAATCATTGCGGACCTTAAATCAAATAAAATTTTAATTTTAATTATATATAGGGTGTCCGGTAATTGTCACCTCAACCATCGTGTGCAGATAAAGTGAATTAAACCGAATAGGAAAGTCCTTTATCGTTTTGCGATTTTCGCAATAATTATTGAGTTATTAAATAAAAAAGATCGGCCAATCCATGCGAATAGAAGCGCGCGACGAGAAGAGACGTCCTACTGTAACACGATACACGAAGATTTCTCGAACACGATTCGTAGACAGTCATCTAACTCACTTTATCTGCACACGACGGTTGAGGCGACAATTACCGGACACCCTGTATATATAGTTAAAATTTTATATACATGTATATATTTTATATATATATAATAAACTTATAATATATTTACTTATAATTAAACTTTTAATATATATTATATAAAATTCTTTATAATTATATGTGACGGAATTTAATATAAATACTTTTTTGACAGATATTAAAAGAGACATACAAAGAAGAAGAACCAATGATTGATTTTGATGAAAATAAGTAATACTATTGATATAGATTAATATATATATTTTCTTTCATCAATCTAAAATTTATCTCGTTTTTATAATCTTCAGAAAATTGTTTTAAATGTACTTTTAGTTATATATGTTTATTAAAAAAAAGAAAAGGATAATTCTTCGATAGTGTTATAATTGTATTACAATAATAATTAAAATCAGCTGCAATAATAGTTTATTATTTTATTTAATTACTTTGTCACAATAATAAGTTACACAATAACTTTGTCACAATAATAATTGTACTTAATAATGTTTTTTCACCTGTCTTTTCTTGACATTTTATTTAGATTCATTATTTGGAATATATTGTGAAAAAGTAAAAATTAAAATGACTGAATTTCGTCGCAGGCAGTTTACTTCCGCGAATAAATAACGATTAAATAAATCATTAATTGTTTTTATGATGATTATGTATACTTTGTTTTCCTACAAAATTAATAATCGAAATGATTATACAATAAAATTTGTATATATCATTCTAATGTATATTACACACATTACATATATATATATATATATGTTTTAAAATAATATATTATAAATATTACATATTATGTTTGTTAATATAAATAAAATGAATATAATTACACAAGAGAAATTTTTATTTCCACATATTTAATAAGGTCCCAAGTAGCAAACCGATGTCAGTTAGTTTGTTGCTTGGGATATATTTTATTATTTAGCATATATAACTTTATTTAGTAATTAATTTAAAAATAATAATAATTATTAATTAATTTATTATTATTATTATTATTAATTATTATTTGAATATTAATTTTTGCTCATATTCGGCCAGGTGGCGCTCAAAACACTATTTAAAACTGAGTATGGAGTATGGAGTTTCCTATCTATTTTCTTATATCGTTTATGTTATCGACAAAAAATCAAAATATACATTAATTTTTCACAGTACTCCACTTTGTTGCAAAAAATTGTCTTTGACGTGAATTTTCTATGCAACGATAAAAAATCAATAATTAGAGATACAAGATTTCTCGTTCCCTGAATTAAACATATATATAAATATGAATCTGACAGCTGCAAGAATTTTCAGAGGCTCAAGAACTGCGAGATATGTGCTTGATAAAGGAACCCACGTGTTATTGTTCGATGATGTCTGTAAAAATATGCAAATAAGATGTAAGAGCAAAATATCAACGCGCAAGGCCTTCGAAAGCAATAAATACAAACGATCGGAGGACTCTATTGGGGTGTACGGATATTGCCTGTTGGCAAGTAATGTTACAAACATATTCATCCATTTTTTGTTACAATTTATAATTTCAATTTTAGTTATAATTTTGAAATGTTTTTAAAATTTATTTATTATATAATTTATTAAGAATGTATAATTATATATTGCAGTTGAAAAGAATGATTGCGCAGTGTAAACAAAATAAATATGCTTGTTATTAATTAATATACTATGACATATAAATCTTTATACAGAAGAAATATTTAAAAATTTAGAAAATTTTATGTAACATTTAGCAGATAATTTTCTATAATATGTTATAAATATGAATTATATTTATAAAATTGCGATATATTAATTTTATAAATATAATGAAGATAATTTTATAAATATAATGAAGATATTAATTTTATAAATATAATGAAGATAACGTGCAAGAAAAAAGTGAAATTTCTCACATTTTTACATGTTGCAATCTCTGTACAGAGTATACCTATTATTATATAATTTATATTAAGAATTTATAACTATATATCACAATGAAAAGAATCAGTGTGTAATGTAAATACAAAAATTTTTTAAATAAATATAATGTTGATTTATTATTAATTAATATACTTTGACATATAAATCTATATACAGAAGAAATATTTAAAAATTGAACAATTTTATGTAACATTTATTAGATAATTTTCTTATACATTATAAATATGAATTATATTTATAAAATTGTGATATATTAATTTTAAAAATATTTAATGAAGATAACGTTCTAGAAAAGAGTAAAATTTCTCACATTTTTAAATGAAGAATTTTAATTTTTACATATTGCGATCTCTATACAGAGTATACCTATTGCTACCTTTGCGCTCGGCACGTGGCAAATTAAGAGGTGGCGATGGAAGCTGAATTTAATAGAAGACCTAAAGCATCGTACTTCAGCGGAGCCGATTGAGCTGCCAATTGAGTAGGAAATTGTGACAATTTATATTGCAAGTACTCTCTATTAATTGCAGACATTTGATAAAAGTGCATTCTTTTCAGTTTAGATGAATTGAAGGACAAGGAATATTATTGTGCAAAGGTGAAAGGAAGATTTTTGTATGAAAAGGAATTTTTGATGGGACCTAGAAGTCTAATTCTAGATGGAGAAGCTGTTGGTGAAAAGGGCAGTGGAATATTTTCTCGCAAATCGAGCACAGGATATTACGTGATCACACCTTTCAAACTGGAAGATCGAGAGTAATTACAATTTGCTTTTATTGATTATTGAAAAAAAGATCTCTTTATTCTAACTCTGTGGAATTAATTAATGATTATTTCAGCTTGACTATCATGGTGAATCGTGGATGGATACCTAAAAGTGATCGTACATTATTCAAAATGATAGAGAATAAAATTACAGACTCTACAGAAATCATTGGCATTATTAGAAAAACTGAGAAACGACCTACATTTGTACCTGATAATGCTCCTGAAAAAGGAGTATGGCATTTCAGGTATAGATTTTTTTTTTTTGCAACACAATATTTATCTAATATTTACTATTATTTAACATTATTGTATCGAAGAATTTTTTAGTAATTTTTGTAAATAACATGTATTTTCTTCAGTGAAACATTAAATTATTATTTATATTTTAAATTATTATTTACATTTATTTATTTTTTTTTCAGAGATTTAAACGCAATGGCAAAGGTGGCAGAAGCAGAACCTGTGTACATAGAATTATTGTCTGGATATAGTACACCACATGGCCCAATTGCTGGCCAAACAAAAGTAACTTTAAGAAACGAACACGTTAGTTATATACTCACTTGGTATGGGTTGTTCGCCAGCACGAGCTACATGTGGTTTCGATATTTTATGCAAAAACTACCACTCGTTTAGTCGCATTTTTTTAGAGAGGCAAAGAGGGAAAAATTTATCCGAAACATTTGTAAAAATGTATAAAAGAGATGGAGAGAAAGTGTATAAAATATAGATTATCGTGTGATTTAGTTGCTTTTTATTTGCGATTCTATGTTTTTCATCTTCTATGTAATTTATTTTTATTTAAATAGATATTTTTATTTATTTTAGAGGGATCTTAAAAAAGAAGATAAAGCAACATTGTCTTCTGATTATAACAAAAGTAATAATTTTTTATATAATTTGGCGTCAAAAGGACTATTTTTGCTAGAGCTATAGATGATTTATAAAATGTTTTATTCCATATACATAATAATTTTGAGTGTAGTTTCCATCTCTTGCAAAAAAGAAAAATCTCTTGCTCTTTTGCGAAAAAAATATGAACTTGTATTAATTAATAATAATAATAATAATAATTAACACAATTCTCTCAATAATTGTCATGATATACATATATACAATAACATAGTTCCTTAAAATCTACATAAAAATATCTTTATAAAATATAAAAATATACAAAAATTTTATCTCGATCGAATATTCATATATAACATATCGATAATATGATAACATATTGAGAATTGTTTAGAAAAACAAGAATAAAGAGGGATTAGTAGGATTGTCAGACTGTGATAAAAATAATAAAACATTTCTTTCATTAACGATGATATAATTATTCTCTCAAATCTTGTGTTAATAAATTTCTTTATCATTCTCATATTTTTTTTAAAATCCCGTTTATAACAGACAATTTACATATTTTATTCTTAACACTTAAATTAAATACATTAAATAACTATCTTCATATTTTAGATCTATTCGGTAAAAATCTATAATCTATAATCGTGTCTTCACAAATTATCCTTTTTAAATGGAATTTTTAAACGATTTTTCGTTTCACTATGATATTGAATTGTGAAAATCTTTTACTAAAGAGCCATGATAGAATTTTATCATGCTTATAATATTTTTTGTTCCATTTATATTGATCGGTATAGAGGATTTATATTTATTATGTATTTTGCGATTGTGAAGATGAAGGATATATTCGTATACTTTATTGTCGCGACATGCGATGCTTTTAAATGAATTCAAACGCTTCGATAAAAGCATCACTTTCGTCCATAAGGCTTGGCATAAAAAACGCTTTTATATATAAGCAGTATTTCATTTATATGCGAGCCTCAGAGAAAAGGTGTCCTGAAGAATTTTAATTTTAAAAAGATATTAGCTTTCTTTTAGCAAAAATTTCACCTGAGAGCTCCTATATTCCTTTTGTAATTTATGTAATTTTTTTTCTAATATTATATATATCTTTGATAGGTCAATAATCAAGAAAAATATTCGACATTTAATTTTATAGAGAATTAAAAATTCGAAATGTGCTTTTACATTTTTTAAAATTTACTTTATAAATTTGAAATTGAAAACTGAAAAAATAAAAAATAAAATATATTGATAACGAGCAAACTGACGTCATTAAACGTCAAAATGACGTACGTTTAAAAAATTTCGAGAATAAAGAGCGTGGAAAGATAAAATTTCTTTATTCAACAATTATTCTATAACATATATATATATATATATATATATATATATATATATATATGTTATTTATAATTATCTACAATTTAATTGTCTGAATCGTATCTTGGATAAAATTCTCGGTTTGGCAACATATATCATCAGTACACCTTTCTTCGGAGACACCACATATTCTTCTTTCTCCGTAAAGCTTTTCTTATATATTCTTCTCTAGCTCGCTTTAAATTAATATATTTATGAAATAATAAACTTTCTTAAACGCTACTTCAATTACACTAATTTTTTAGATATCTCTGCTAAAAGGTTTAGTGCTCGCACTTACATCCGTCAGCGAGTTGTTGAAGAAGGCAAGCTGTGAATTAACATTACATCCTTATATCGATCCCTCGCACACATTTCTATATATATTCTTCTCTTTCGCACTTATATTATATTATAATATTTTATTATCAATAGTGATTTCCCACTTGATATCTGAGAGCCCGAAAATTTTCAGACTTCTTCGATCACTTACAATTATAGAGACGTTCTCTCCTAGCTCTTTCATATTTTCCATTCAACAATCAGGGACGAATCTTTCATTTAAAATATGGAATATGCTATTATGATATAATATAATTACTTCGTATTAGTACAAAAACGCGCGTGTCTTAGCATTAATCCTGTTTAAGGTGAAGCTATTGATATCTTCCGATTCTTCTTGTGATCTGGATGTACTCGCATATTTATCTAACGAATGATTTTTAAGTCGGGAAATTTATATCTGATAGATTGGATACTTAAAATGCTGAAAGACGGGTCTATCTGCTTTTTCTTCAATGAAGATCAATGTGAAGATCAACATGAAGATCAACGTGAAGGTGAGCTTCACACATTAGAAAGACGAGTCTGCTTCTTCTTCAATGAAGATTAACATGTAAGCTTCACAGAGTTAAGTAAAGCTCAAAATTGGCGATTTTATTTAACATTTTTGTGTAGTTTGTCGACTGGACATGATTCTCGCGTCAAACATTCGTATTCAATGAATGAAACTCGGAATTATTAGTTCAATTATTCCGCTTTCGAGACGTATTCGTAGTCAAGACTTAAGCCGAGCTTAGGGGCTTCATATATAAAACGCAAAATACAGAAGCAAGAATTTTCTGTAGATTGAACAATCTTCCTATCCATATCACATCCATTCATTGGGACAAATAAGCAACTTATATATATATATATATATATATATTTTTTTTTGAACACTTTTCTTATACTTTTATAATGCATAGAATAATTACAGTTGTTATGCATAGTGTAAAAGCATAACATAAGCATTTTTGAAATAGAGTAATTTAGGTAGCAAATTGACGTCATTAAACGTTAAAATGACGTCATTCAATATCAAAATGACATACGTTTGCTACCTAAGTAATATACATATATGTATATATGATTGTTTTGAGCATAATCTCTCGCTAGTTTAATTATTTACATAAACATACACAAACAATTGTATATACATATTATATGCAATATAATTTGTGTATGGGTGTATGTTTTTATGTGCAACACTCTTTATTTAGAATGCACTAGTGCGCACACAAGTGCAATCAAAACTCGTATCTAAAAAACAGAAGCTATATAATAATAACATCGTTTATACTTATACATTATAAAAAGGTTGAACCTTATAAAACATGTTTTGTAAAAATAAAATAATTATATCAAAACATCGTGGTTAAAACTTTTTGTAATTCTTAAAAGGTAGACTTTCTTCTCGTTTGTACAATTGATTGCACAATCTCTAATAATAATTTCACGCATGTGAACGACGAGAAGATGAGTTCAACGAGTGTTAGTACGAGTTTTTCTCATTCATAAATTCATTTATCTATTTTTATATTTTTATTTTATATTTATTCAAGTAACGTTTAAGAAAAAGAGAAGAAATTGTTAGTTTGATAAATTTTCGTTGTATTTTTCAGAAAAATAAATTTATTTCATTTTTATTTCGTGTGCCATATCTAAAATGGCGTTGTAAAAAGCTTACTGAAGGCGATCCTGTGAGGAAGGGAATAAGAGCAATATTTGTGTGTATTTACAATTATACAAGCTGAAGTTTTGGAGATAGCTGGAAACGCGGCCCGTGATAACAAGACGAGAATCATCCATCGCTCAAGGCGGCGTATTGTCTAACATCCAAGCTGTGCTGCTGCCCAAGAAGACGAAAAAGAAAGCTTAAATCGTGATCCGACATCCACCATCGTTTTAAGACTATCTAACATTTATATCCCGGCTATGAATACGATCGCGCGTCGACAATTTCAATAAATTGACTACGATTTAACGCTTCTATGAATTCACTCTCTAAATAATAATACCCTATCCATAACATAAACAGCGAAAGAGAAATTAACCCCATGATATTATATCGACGTTTGATGCAATCTGATCTGATCGTCGACAAAAAGAAACCTTGTTTTTCGCAAAGCCTGAAGCTGATAAGCGTCTCGAGCATTTTTTTCTCAGATAAAGTTCAACTAACGTGCCAAACAGTTCCCAAGTAGTGAGTACACGTCATTTAATAACGTCATAAATGTCAAAATGACATCATTTTGACGTTTAATGATATCATTTTAACGTTTAATAACATCAATTTGACGTTTAATGACGTCGATACTTAGAATAGATCTCTGAATCCAGAGCAATTTAAATTCGCAAAATTTTTCCAAATTGACGTCCTTAAACATTAAAATGACGTCAATAACATCATTAGGCATCATTTTGACGTCATTAATGACGTTAGTTTACTACTTGGGAGGGTATAACAGTACGATAGGATCGCTAAGTTCTACGAATAATAATTCTTGTACGCTTCAGGTGTACGCAGGTGTGTGCGTGTTGGTTCGGTGTGCCCTCTCTCAGATTCTATTATTCGTTAAGCACACAGGTACGGACTAGGGCGTCGGTGACGGAGTAAGGATCGCAGTTGCTGCTGGGCCTCCTGTCCTCCAAGTAGCCCTTCTTGTCCTCGGCGACGCCGCGAGGGATGCGGATGCTGACGTTCCGATTGGCCACGCCGGCGCTGAAGTCGTGGATGTTGCTGGTCTCGCATTTCCCGGTCAGCCTGCGCTCGTTGTCCTTTCCTCCGCGCGGATCGTACGCCTGGATGTGTCTGAGGTGTTGCTTGCTAAGCTTGTCGATCGCCTTCTCGATCTCGGCGATGCCGTTCTCGGATCGCATCGGCTTCGTCGAGAAGTTGGTGTGGGCACCGGCGCCGTTCCACGTGCCGTCCACCGGTTTCGGGTCCAGAGTCACGATCACACCGTACTCCTCGGCTACGTGGTGCAGAATAAATCGAGCGATCCACAGATCATCGCCGGCGTTGATGCCCGAGCACGGTCCTATCTGGATCCATAGTGAAAAGAAACTCTTTTTAGAAAATCTTTGAAACTTTTTTTTCAAAAGTGATACATACAAATTAAAGGATAAGTTATAGTTATTTAAGTTGTAGGATTTGGCTTTCGATGGCATTGACTGTTTTTTTTTCATATGCTGTAGCTTATGATCTGCTGAACAAAAAATGCAACAGGTTCAAAGCTAAATAATAAACAGTACTGATAATAATAAACATACTGATTTACAGTCAGTCAAATATGAAAAATTTGATCTCTACGAGTTATTTGACTGGCTGTAACTCAGTAACTATCCAATATTTGGCTTTGAAGTTATTACATCTTTTGTTCAGCAAGACATAGATGCAATATCTGAAAAAAGTCAATCTCTCTCAATTGTCCAATATCTGTTGCCCCAAAATTGTCCCACAATTGGAAATTGGACTTCATAAAAAAATCCTCTAACTATCCTTGATCTAATCATTCAGTCAGAAGAAAATCAATTTTGGATTATTTTCTCTCTAATACTCAAATAGAACAGAAAAGCCAAAATAATGTCAATTTGACGTCATGTTGACCAAATTTGGAATCCATATCTGGTAAAATTGACTTTGTTCTACTTGGATAAATCGATTGCAATCAGCAATTTGAGTATTACCTGGAATTCCCATTGCGAGGGCATCACCTCAGCATTGGTTCCCGCGATCTTCACGCCGGCGTAGAGGCAGGCCCTGTAGTGGGCCTCGACGATCTCACGGCCGATTACCTTGTCCGCGCCGACGCCACAGTAATAGGGACCCTGCGGACCCGGAAAGCCATTTTTGGGCCAGCCGAGCGGCCTGCCGTCGAAGTCCAGGAGGGTGTACTCCTGCTCGATGCCGAACCAAGGATCCTGATCCTTGACAGCTTCCATCGCCTGATTTGCCAGGTACCGCTTGTTCGACCTCGTCGGCGTCTTGTCGCTGTTGTAGGTGTCGCAGAGCACGAGCTTATTTTTGCCGCGGCGGAAAGGATCGTTGTAAATGGCCACCGGATATAGGTAAACGTCACTGTTGGCGCCGTCAGCCTGATACGTAGAGCTACCGTCGTACGTCCATATTGGCAGTTCTGAAATTGATAGTCGAAAGATCAGGAGTCTGATATTTTATTAGAAACTGATGATGATGATAATGATGATGATGGATGATGATGATGATGATGATGATGATGATGATGATGATGATGATGATGATGATGATAATGATGATAATGATGATGATTGATGATGATAATGATGATAATAATAATGATAATCATAATGATGATGATAATGATGATAATTGAGTGAATTGTATGACAGTTCTGAAATTGATAATCGAAAGGATCAGGAATCTGATATTTCATTAGGAATTGATGATGATGATTTAATTTCCCCAGGCAATATCTTGTTGGTCGCTATTGACTTTTTCCTAAAGGGCGATTTTCAAAATTATTTGTTTTTTTTAAATGGAGTTTTAATTTTTTTATTTATTATTTTTATTCATTACAAAAAATTATAGAGATAAGATGGTTAAAAAGTGAATAGTTTGCGAGATATATTTTATACTTTAATTAAACACGTTTCAAACTCAAAGACTGTAACACTGTTGTATCTTTGAAACCGTTCAGAATACGACACGTGTTTATATAAACTTTTTGTTTAAAATTATGTGTACAATCATGTCCTAGATTACTGATCATTCCTCCTGAAATTTTATTTTTATATTTAATTATCAGGTTGAGTAAGTTAACGATTTTTTTAAACTGACAATGAGTTAAGTTAAAGTTAGTTGCTTACAAAATTAATTTAGTTAAGTTAAAAGTAGCACGAACAAAAAATTAACTCAGTTAAAATTAAGTTAAGATTAAATTAACTAAAGTTAAATCAAAAGTTAATTTTTAAAAACATTATTTATATTAAATTAGAATTTTGTTTATTAAGTCTTTTAAAAAATGTATAATAACAAATAACAAGGAAATTTTTATTTTTATATAAAAATATATTGTTTGGTGATTACAATTGATAACAAATGACTATACAAATTAATAATACACTTTAATTAAAAAAATAATTCGTTTATATATTGTAACTTATAAAAAAATAATGGTATCGGAGATAAAAAAATTTTAACTTAGAAAAAAAGTTAATAAGTTTAAGGTCAAAAGTAACTAGTTGAAGTTAAAAATTAATACATTTTAAATTAGCTAAGCTAAATTAAAAATTATTAATTTTTTAATTTTTTTAACTTCTAACTAACTAACTAGTTATTACCTAACTCTGTACAATGATAATTATATTTGCGTTATACATATTAATACGATAATAGTCTCGATCCTATAGAAAATCTACAATTACTCAAGTTGTTGATTTAGAGTTCATTGCTTCCGTATTTTCTATCTTTCTATAACATGCGCATTTTATGCGAGATTAGATAATATTATATTACTTTATCACGCGCTCGCTGAAAACAAACATACCTAAAGAACATTAAATTCTCTTAAATATTAAGAAATTATCTCGATAAAATTTAAAGACTTCTTATTATGTCAAACAATCATAAAATTTTTATCAACTTTTATATATGTTGAAAATTTAATTCGTAAATTAATATATTAGGATTTTCAAATCATATAAAATTAAAGATGCAAAAAACGTTTTCATTAACAAATTTATTTTTAAAAAACTAAGAAAATATTTTTATTTATACTTACAGACTTGACACATTATAATAAGAAAAAGTTTTTAATATTTTGAAAAAATATTAGGTTTTTCTACAATAAATATATTTTTAAAAATTGATAAAGAATAGAAATAAAATGGAATATATGATATAAGAAAAGTGTAGATTCAAATTTTTAAAAATGACATGAAATCTTATTTCAGAATCTCTCGATAGATTCGTATTCTCGAAAATTAATCCGATACAAGGCAGACAAATTTTTACATTCAGCAAATTATATTAATAATTATATTAATAATTAATCTGGCTCACCGGAAGGATGTTTCGGCACAAAATCCAAGGTCCTGGTTTTACAACGTAATCCCTCGCCAGTACCATCTATCCAGATGTACTTTGCCTGGATCGCATTTTCAGGTTGAGGCAGATCGAGATACTTCTTCAACAGAGTTTTGTCTAACGCCGCATTCGGCGAATCTTTTAAGACGTTGCGCGACATAGTAATGCTGTAACAAAGAAACAAATAAAAATGAGAAAATTATTCACAATTTACAATCTTTTTTTTTCGTTTAGAAGATGATTTATTTGAGAAATATTTGAAAATCGCGAGGTTTCAGAAAAAAAATATATTCGACAAAGGTTGTAGCTCAGATAACAAATGGACGTCATTTTAACGTTGAATGACGTCATTAGATGTCGAAATAACGTTATTTTGATGCTTAATAACATCAGTTTGCTATTTGGTAGAAATGTCATTAATTAGAGTTTTTAAGATCATTTAAAGGTCAATCTCTTTTTAAATAAAATCATTTATATATATAAATCGATTTCTCGCAATAGCCGGCATAAAAGTTATAAGCGTAGAATAGCCAAAAAGTGATGAATAATTAAATAAATATTTTATTTTTTAATTGATATAATTTTAGATAAACTATTATATATAAATATCTTGTAAAATATTAATTTTTTCAATGATTTACTTCAATATTTTTATGCATAAAATAATATGAATGAGAGGATCCAATTGGTATCAAGAAAACACAATTGTTTAAACAAAAAATATGTAGCTTGCAACTAGTAATTACATATTTTTATAGCGAAGAAGCTATGTACATATATCGAGAGGTATATTATTAATTGTAAAAAAAAATAATCATAAATTTATGCATGAAATAATGAAAGAATTGGTGTCAAGAAAACACATATAACTTTAAAAAAAAAATATGTAATTTTTTACAGCTAGTAGCTACACATATTTTTATAGCGAAAAAACTGTATTAAATGTAAAAAAATAATTATCAAAATAATTTGCATATACGTTTTCACAATCTGACACTAAACAGAATAAACGTTCGCTTAATTACAAGAGCACTTATCGTATAATTATTCAGTTAATTAAATTACTCACGTGCATGTTTGCGTCATGCTTTTCATGAATGAAAAATGCCACTAGAAAATCATACATACACATTATGTATTTTTATTAAATCGCTATAGACAATTACTTTTTCTTCTCTTTTTTCGACATATATGAATACTATTTCTCCCCCATCAGAGATTTCGAGATTTCAATGAATTATTAAATTTTTTATTTTTTTAAATTTTATTTTATCTATTTTTAAAATTTTTATAATTTTCTATATATTTAAAAACATTTTTTCAATTAATTTTATTTTTCAATTTAATTTTAAGGAATGATTTTATGAAAGTACACTCTGCCCCTAGCTAGAAATTACTTCTCGCATTTTCAAGATAATTTGATCGAGATGCCACATCCGCGAAACAATAGGCAACACGCGCGCAGAGAAAAGGATAAGAGCTTCGCTGCGGTGTGGTAGTACCGTGAAAAGTTAGGTGCGCCCGTAGGGCTTCACGCGCGTTACACGTGAGTCGTGCGTGCGTCACGCTCATCTGCTCGGCGTGTCGCGAACGTTCGCGTATATGTATGTATGTAGCCATTAGCGCCAACGGGATTTTCCTCTGATTCCTTCTCGTATCGAAAATCTCACGCGGAGAGGCAACCCACTTCTCCGTCAACCCAGACATCGAAATCCCAGGCATTAAAGCCGAAATATGTCCAAAACCGGATCATAAGACGTCTTTAAGTCATTTTGACGTCATTAAATGTCAAAACGACATCGTTTTGACGTTTAATGACGTTAGTTTGCTACTTGGGATGTTCCTAAGGAGAACAGAAAATCAAAATGACATCATTTTGACACTATCGTGACTTTTTGTTCTCCTTGGATTATAAATCTAAGTAACAAACTGACGTCATTAAACGTCACTTTGATGACATTATTTAACGTTTAATGATGTCATTTGCTACCTGGGAAGATCCCTGATAGAAAACGTACGTCGTTTTGATGTTTAATGACGTCAGTTTGCTACTTGGGATCCCAAATAACAAACTGACGTCGTTAAACGTCAAAGCGACGTCAAACGACGTTAAACGGCAAAATGACAACTTTGATGACACCATTTGACATCATTAAACGTCAAAATGACGAGTTTGATGACATCATTTAACGTTTAATGATGTCATTTGCTACCTGGGAAGATCCCTGATAGAAAACGTACGTCGTTTTGATGTTTAATCACGTCAGTTTGCTACTTGGGGTCCCAAATAACAAACTGACGTCGTTAAACGTTAAAGCGACGTCAAACGACGTTAAACGGCAAAATGACAACTTTGATGACACCATTTGACATCATTAAACGTCAAAATGACAAGTTTGATGACATCATTTAACGTTTAATGATGTCATTTGCTACCTGGGAAGATCCCAGGTAGAAAACGTTCGTCATTTTGACGTTTAATGACGTCAGTTTGCTATCTGGGATCCCAAATAGCAAACTGACGTCATTAAATGTCAAAGCGACGTCATTAAACGGCAAAATGACAACTTTGATGACACCATTTGACGTCATCAAATATCAAAATGACGACTTTGATGACACCATTTAACGTTTAATGATGTCAATTTGCTATCTGGGAAGATCCACGTCTAATGACGTCATTAAACGTCAAAATGACGTACGCTTGCTACTTGGATATAGTTTACGGCCATTTAAGCGAAACATGTTTAATTTTGAGGCTTTCACATCTTTTGCTCAGCAGATCATAAGCTATGAAAAAATCAACCAATTTCATCAAAATCCAACTTTCATAGATTGTCATTTTTAACTAGATTTTTCACAATTTTAAACTAGTTTAATATACTAATTTTACCTAATTAATATCACCTGTGGTGAAACCAAATTCAATGAAAAAACAGATGATAAACTTTATCGATAAACTTTGAGATAAAAAAAAAACAGTTATCAGAATCAACTAGCTTTCTATTGCTCTCTTTTAATTAATCAAAAATCAGTTTTCTCAAAATTATATCTCATTCAATTTTTAAGAAATATTTAATTACGATGTATAAAAACTGCAATATAAAATTACAATATACAATAAAATTGTACTTATTGTTAGTAGAAAAGTGCATTCTGATTGTGTGAGAATCAAAAAGTATTTTTTCCAAAAATAAAACAGTATTTATATTTGATTTATAAAAATCAACAAAAAATTTTAACAAAACTATTTCGAATTAATTTAAAAAAAAAAAAAAAAAAAAAAACAAAATTATATCTAAAAATCGAGAAAAAATCTCTTCTATATTTAAACTAGATTTATAGAATATTATACTCTGGATTTATAGAAATCAACTAAATATTTCTCCCAAATTAAAAAAAAATATATCAGAATTTTAATTTTTCAGTAGAATATAAAAAAATAAAAATTTTTTCAGTAGAATAAACATGATTAAATCAACTTAGCAATATAAAAACTTTTGGAAAGAGAGCATTTGTTGAATTTATTAATAACAATTTTGCACGTTCTTTTTTCACTCTTTCGAAATTTCAAATATTATAATAATAATATAATACTATTACTTGCTGTATTTATTTGATGTAATCAAGGTCGGATGCCACATATCGAGAGTGAAGATTCAATCGAACAGACACAATTTTCGACAACTTTCAACTCTTTTGCTTCGGTAATTTGCTCTCTGTCTTCTCCGACAATTATGTAATGTATATTCACGTTGTGCTAATCATGATTGAATGCTCAAATGCTATTTTCTTTCAGATATATTATCTCTGAGATTTATAGAAGATACGGTACACATTATACCAATTAAAAATTGTTTTGGACAGATATCATTAATTGATTAATTTTTGCGTCATTATCTGTCCAATTATTTTTATCTCGAAATTCATATTTTAATAATTAAATAATGAAATATTTTAATAATTTTTTTACTAAAATTTATAATTAATTTTGACAGAATAAATGACGTAATCTTTCTTTAATTAAAATAGATATACATATGTATACATTTTTTAAGTTATAAACGACTGAAAATATGATTATAGACAAACTTATTTGACCTTAATTCAAAGAGGGCCCGCACATATCTCTTCGAGAATCAGTACCATGTAAATCGAAAGATATTTGTTCACGTCACTACAAAATTACATAATTAATGTTGCCACGTTCATGTTTGGACTTTGCAAGACGATTTGCGATAACTTTCGATCATCATTTTAGACGTGGTAAAAAAAATTTCAGAAAAATATATTATATACAGATGAGTAATCTCTTACGCAATTAGAAGAGAAATTACAGGTTTAAAAAATATGAAAATAATAATTATATAAAAAATAAATAATTAAAATAATAATATTATATTAAAAATAATAAATATATTAAATAGATTATATTAATATATATTAAATAATATATTTAATAATAAAATAATTAATATATTATTTAAATATATTTAAAAATATATACAATATATTAAATTGTTTAAAAAATATATATATAAACATATATTAAAAATATATTAAAAATATAATTTTAAAAAATAATAAATATATTAAAAATAATATTAATTAAATTTGATTAAAATTGTTTGAAAATTTCCTGTATTACTTTATCGTTTATTCGAGTTTATATAAGATATCTTGTATACGTCCAGCAGAATTTCCAGACGATAGAAAAAATTCGAACAACATATCGGAATGTTATCTTCGGTCACGTGCGAGCATAGAGTCATTTTTGTTCTTTTATACATACGCATACCAAAGAGATAATTATATGCTTGACCCGTTTTTATCGCAATTGCGAGACGATTGTAACTGAATCAGCAGTTTGAAAAGGCAATTAAAAGTCTGGCGAGTCTATACACTTTTTTCGCGAGTCAGTTTTGATGATAATAAATATTATAATGATAAAAACTATCGTTTTCACATCGTAACTTATGCAACTTTTCGTATTAATTACCATACTAATTTTCAAAAAAGATAAAATTTGAGAAACTTTTCAGAAATCATATATATCAAAATGTGTATGTAAAGTGACAAATATTAAAAATATAAATATTACAAGTAAATATTAAAATTAATTAGTAAATATTAAAATAGTAAATTAAATAGTATTAAATAGTATATA